TGCTTGGAGGTGTACCGCAGGAAGGTGGACGATGCCAATCGGACCAGGGTCCAGCTGCACCAGTCTGTGGCCACCAAGGAAGCTGAGGTTGCATTGCTAATGGCTACTCTAGGAGAGCACAAGCTGTATCTCAAGGTATGCATACTAATCATGATGATGATGCACTAATTAGTTGGTTGTCTGTTGGCTTCCTGAGTGGTTGCTAGGTTCCCTCGAGATGATGGAATCTGGCTGTTGTTGGTAACATGCATGATTCAAGTTGTGGATTGCCTGTTTGCTTTTCTTTTTTTGTCAAAGTAGCTACTGGCTTATAGTAAATCTCTAGGCAACACCACCTTACTTTAATCTTTTTACTAGGATGCTTTTGTTAATTTATGATCGCACGCTTGCGCAGAAAGACAAGGGCTACGTGTCGCTCAAGGAACAACTCGCCGCTGTCGTCCCTGTGCTCGACGACCTGAAATGCAAGAAAGAAGAAAGGATCAAGCAGTACTATGATATTCGATCACAGATTGAGAAGATACACTCTGAGTTAAGTGAGCATAATGATAAGGCTGATCATGTCAACAGTCCAGCTGCTGATGAACATGATTTGTCGACGAGGATGCTTAATAGCTACCAAGCGCAACTTAGTGCTCTTCAGAAAGATAAGGTAAACCGTCATGAATAAGCCAGCTAATCTGAAACCTTTAGTTGCCTTTCAAAATATTTTGTTTCTTGCAGTACTTTTGAATAAATAGAACTGGCAGCTGCTAAGGAATGCGTGAGTATTCAGAAATGGTTCAACTCAGAAAAAAAATGCCTTCCTACATTTTACGGTATATAGTTTCTATTAAGTGATCAGATGATTAATTTACTAAGTTAGCCACTGCCATAGTGCCATGTAATCTGTATCAACTGTCTAGGGCTGCTGGTCATCTAATTTAAGTTACTTTAGGATTGAGTGTTGACTGGAAATGTTTTCTTGTTTTGCAATATTTTCAGTCTGATAGACTTCACAAAGTTCTGAAATATGTAAATGAAGTGCATTCTTTGTGTGGAGTCCTTGGAATTGATTTCGCAAAGACCGTAAATGGAATTCATCCCAGTCTACATCAGAATGGTGTTGAGCAGTCCAGAAACATCAGCAATGGCACACTGGAAGGCCTTGATAGCACAATATCAAATCTTAAAGCAGAGAGAAAATCTAGAATCGATAAGGTACTCTCAAGGTTCCTTTCTTCTCAGTGTTTTGTTATATGAGTTCTGTGTAGTACATTCTCAAGCAACCGATTACCTATAGATGAGAGACACAATGGAGTCATTATGTCACCTCTGGAAGTTAATGGACTCTTCCGAAGTGGAGAAGAGACAATTCAGCAAAGTAATCAGCATTCTCATATCACCAGAAGAGGGAATCACATCCGCTGGTGTTCTTTCCCAGGAAACAATCGAGAAGGTTTTACCAGCTCGCCTTTGTTTTTTTCCTTAGTATGCTGTTTATTGCTTATCTCAATCAGTTTTTTACAATTTCGGTGTTGATTTCTTACGCAGATGGAAGCTGAGGTTGAGAGGTTAACAGAACTTAAAACCAACAGATTGAAAGAAATTGTAACGAAGAGAAGGGCCGAATTAGAAGATATATGCAAGAATGCACACATAGAACCTGATCTCAGCACAGCCCCTGAGCAAACTAACGCTCTGATTGATTCTGGTTGTACTTTATGCATCTTGCTCAAGTACTATCTTGACCAGTGGTTGTTTTCTTACAATTGTGACTCTCTTGCCCCTGTTCCATTCAGGTGCTATTGACCCTTCTGAGCTCCTGGTGAATATCGAGTCACAAATATTGAAAGCAAAAGAAGAGTCACTAAGTCGAAAAGATATTATGGACAGGATAAATAAATGGATTGCTGCTTGTGATGAAGAGGCTTGGCTTGAAGAATATAACCAGGTAGTTTTAAGCTTATTTGCTTTGGAATTACAATGCTCAAATTCTGAGCATAGCATGTACACTTGTTGCACAGACTATCCTGCCCCCACAGGCATTTTCTAGATAATTCTGTGGTTCCCTAAATCATGGAAAATGACACCAAAGCTCTTTTGCAGGACTCGAAGAGGTATAGTTCTGGAAGGGGTGCTCATGTAAACCTTAGAAGGGCGGAAAAGGCACGGATTTTGGTCACTAGAATTCCAGGTAGGTTTTGATGCTGGAGATTATTCATGTATTTCAGTTTAGTTCAATGAATGACCCATATCTTTCTCAGCTATGATGGACAACCTGATAAACCGTACCTTCGCTTGGGAAAATGCAAGAAATAAGCCATTCTTATACGATGGGGTATGTCTACAATCTGATCAGTAGGGCAAGCATTTATCGTTTGTTTCTATAATTAATTGATTCGTATAAATGACTTGACAGGGACGACTAGTATCTGTTCTAGAAGAGTACAGACTTAACAGAAAACAAAAGGAGGAGGAAAAACGGCGATACCGGGTAGTGATTGTTTACCAAATCACCATTATTGGCTGAAAAATAATATGGCATATTCTGGTCTAAACATCATTTTTTCCATTTGCAGGATCAGAAGAAATTGGAGAGCATCCTACTTGCAGAGAAAGAAGCGATTTTTGGCTCCAAACCAAGCCCAAAGAGAGCAAGCAGCTTAACCAGAAAGACAAATGGGTACCGTTCAAATGGAAGCAGTAATGGACTAATGACCCCAACACCTCGCCGATCATCCCTAGGCAGTGCCACCCCTGAGCTTTCGACACCCAAATCATATTCCAGTCGCTATAATAGATACTTTGGTGATTCAAGGCGGCTATCCGTATCACAACTAAACTTCGGCGATGATTCACTATCAACATTTACATCAATTAGTGGTTCTGAACCAGAATCCCCTTCTATGGGATAATCTCCTGGTACTATCTCAATCTCTTCATGCATTTCTTCTAACAACAATCTTCAAGCATATTTGTTACCGATGATGGTTAAACAATGTGTTATGTTAACTTTTTTGCCAGGTCAATCTATTGGGTCAATTGCCAAGTACTTAGCATTGTAAATGGACCAGTGTGCTATGAAGTTTTTGCATTTGTGTGTACATTACTGATGCCATGTATTTAGCTATAGCTAGTATTGTTGACTAGTAAGCACTAGGTTGGTTGACTTGGTTTCGGGTTTGAAATTGATGTTCCGAGCTGATGGCTCTTTTAGACGATTAGGCGAAAGATGTAGTGAGTGGTTTAGGGGTAATCACTTGTACCATATCAAATGTCATAATTTATGTGACTGGCTTGTGTGTTGCAACCTTGCAGAAATAGTTCGAAATATATGTACGGATGTAATACTTCTGCAGTAGTTTCTAGTTCTTTCTCTTGTGCAATATGCATGTGGATTTCAGTACCCTTATTTTATGAGCAGAAAAGGCAGAGTCCATGCCATAAAATGCATTTGTGCTTCTCCCTCCCACCTTCCCATGTTTCTCAATTCCGCTTGGATGTATATAACATTATAACTGAATGGTGCTTGTGAATACAGACATTAAAGAATATGCTCTGTCGAACGAAATGACGGAAGCAAATTGATTAGATGAGAACTATGAATAATCATCACAGTGAATCAGATTCTGTGTCATGTGTGGTCCCATCGCATGAGTTGTGTCAATAAAGAAGTGCATTTTTATCGCTATTATAAACATGAACCGCATGGTGCAGCCTGTGATTCAGATTTCAGGGCAACCCCAGTTGATATGATGCAACAAAATATGTGATCATGAGAGATAACCTGGAGGAAGATGAATGCCGGCTGCTCGCTCCAGTGAGGACCCGAGCGCTTCGTCTCCGGCAAAACTCGATCTCCTCCATCTTCGTCTCCTCATTTCTCCAAAGATCTGCATCCACTATGGAACATTATAGAGGAAATGGTTATGTAGTTTCATATCCATGAGACAGAAAGTCCAAATTCAGATCCATGAGACAGAAAGTCCAAATTCAGATCCATGACGCCGATAACTGCCAGATAGATGCTTGCCTGCAGCCAAACATTTTATATTGGTTCCCTGCACACTTTAAACATATGACGAATCAGGGCAATTTTTCTGGAAAAAAAACAATGGATCAGGGTGCAATCAGTTCTTCTAATACAAATTGGCAGGTGCATGAGAAAGAAAAAGCTGTGATTGCCCCAGTACATATCTCAGTTACATTTCAGCATCTAACAAATGCAAATTTCTTCAGATCTCAGAATATGGGCCGATACATTTACAAGAAAAAGAAAACAGTTCTTAACGTAACAAGTTGAGATTCTCACTGGTGGAGCACATTCAACAAGAACTGACGACAAACAGATAAGAGTTTGAATTAGAGAATTAGGGGCAAATGAGTAACTCTGTCTTCTTTCCTTTCTCAACCAAATAGAAATAATTAGCATTTAACTACCATAGTAAGCAACTGCATAAATACATTATACATTCGCGACAAACAAATGTCAGTTGCAGAGCATTCCTTTCGATTCTCTCAACACTCAGGATAACATGGTATACTGGGACATTAACCACCTTCCCACCTCTGGTCTATATAGCATCATCTACTCCTTCATAATTTTTGCCAGGTCTGCATGGTATACAAGCAACAACAAGAGATTGAATTGCTGCTGTGGTGCTGTTTCTATCTTGCTCTGCTAAATCAGAGTTTTATAATAAACATATACATGCTGATCAATGAATAACCGCCAGCCAACTCAACAGCATGACAGATGGTATCGCCCAGTTCATTGACTGATGTGGTCCTTACAAATTAATACATCATCAGGCATTCACATTTGCTATTACTCTCTCAATTCAATAGCATGAAGGGACTCGAGGGAGGAGCATGTTGTCAGTTGATAATAGCATTCCGACATATCCCAAAAATAATTACATCCTTTATATGAGGAACAATGCATCTGCATTCTGAGGCTAAATGCACATTGGACTAGGAAGTTGGTAAAAAAAAGGGACAAGTAGCATACCAGTAAACTACGCAGATTTCCGAAGTAGCCAGGACAAAATGTATGAAAGGGCAGCATCAACGGAAGACAAGGCAACAATGAACACCACAACGAGTATGAGAGTAAGTGCTGCCGTCCTCAACTGCCAATGACAATGATTTAATTAAACATAGAACGGTTTCCAAAGTAGCCATGGCATGAATGATGTAGCAACTTAAAAATCATGCATATGATACTAGAAGTCTAGAAGATTCATAGAGAACGAACATTGGACAAAATGAAAGGAATCATGATAAGGGCATAATTTAGTACTCCCTCCGTTCCTAAATGTAAGTCTTTGTAGTGATTCCACTAGGTGGACTACATACGGAGGAAAATGAATGAATCCACACTTAAAATGCATCTATATACATCCGTATATAGTTCATAGTGGAATCTCTACAAAGACTTATATTTAGGAACGGAGGGAGTACTACTTTATTGAACATAAATACATTTTGACTCATGTTGGTTCAAGCTATAAGGTTCAGAGTTTATCTACGCAAACTCGTCAAGAATGAACTATGCACACTGCAATCTTAAAACCAACCTACTGCATCACTCTAAATCACGTGTTAGAACTTAGAACACATCCTGAAACATATAGCAAACTCAACATATCCTCACAGGTTCACATTCCTTAACTGGTAAGATGATAGGGCCACAAGGGAATAGATTGCACTGTTAAGAATATATGACAACAGAACCTGGATAAAACCGACCTAAGAAATAATAAACTTTAAATGCAAGTGCCATACTGTATTCCGGAAGCCCGGCCATTCGAGGTGCTTCAATTGCCCTGGCTGCTCAGCCAAGAAAACCACCAAGTTCCTCACGCTCCTGATAACAGAGGGTAATTCTAATTCATCTCATCGTCGAACGGCACAAACAAGGGGGAGCAAGTCAGCAAGATCCGCACTTACACAGCGAATTCTCTAACCACCGCAAGCCACAGCGGCTCATCATCATCAAACCGGTATTGGCTGGCGCGAAGTCCCTGACGCCCATTGCCCGACGCAGCCGCACATTTCAGCCGCTTGGCCGAAGCAAATCGGGGAAGAAGGCATGGTTGCAGCTCGGCAACCTGTAAGCGCAAACCATGTATATATATCACTAGCATAGTGGAGAAGAATAGAACAAGGGAATATGATTCTGGCGCCATGAAATCACGACCTTGAGTAGTGGAGGCCTCGTTAGGCCGCTGGGTCGAGTCAGTCTGCACCGCGGAAGCGGAGACGGGCCTGCAAACGAAGGAAACCGCGGGCGGAAAGTGAGGATCTGGCTAGGAAGAGGAGATGAGCACGGACATGGCGTCAGTGGGCGCGGCGAGCGGTTGGGACCTGCGGCGAGAGGCAGCGCGCTCGCGGCCAGTCCGGACATCCTCCCCGAATTTCTCGACGCGTGGAGTTTGGGCGGAAGAGAGGGTTGGGGTTTCAGGAGCTGCGGTGGGGGACGAGAAAATCCTCCGCCGCTGCGCGCGGCACGCGCTCTCGCCTCCCGGCGATGGATGCCACCGAGCCAGGCGGCGCTCGCAGGGTCCTCTTCCGGTTCGGCGCTGCGAGGTTCTCCGGCGTCGTGTGGGCGTGGAGAGACGGCGGTGGGTGGTCCGGCCGCCCTGCTGTTACTGGGCCATGTGCTGGAAACGAACCAAAGCGCTGGGGATGATGGATGATTTTCCTAGACGGCCCGTTATAGTGCCATGGCGGCCCATTTCCACAGTCTCGGGAGGCTACAAGAATTTGGAGGGCGCCCCTATGAAATCACTAAGGGCATGTACAATTATGACTTTATGAGGCACATAGATTAGCTAGGTTTTTCCTTAACCTTGCCTCGGGTCGTCATGTATGGTTGGGCCAGCCCCATGACACAACTTGTATCCCACTCTCTGTGGACTTCGATGAATAAATTTTGGCCTAACCCTAAAAAAAACCTAAGGGCATGTACAATTATCTCAAAAAAAAAACTAAGGGCATGTACAATGGTTCTATCTTTAGAATGCCACGTAGGATAAATGATGAGGTGGAGGAGAGAGAAATCATAAGAGAAGGTTTATTTTCTCTTATTTAAGAGAAGACAAGAGATGATCTCTTAGCACAATTTGTCTCGCCATATTTTTAAGAACAACTAATTATTGAAGATAAGACTAAGAGATGACCCATTGTAGACATGCTTTCTTGTCATCTCTAATTTACATGCAAAACTTAAGATAAGACTATCTTATCAACCATTCTACATGCCCTAACACTACCCACAGTGAGTACTCCCCATTGTAGAGATATTAACATGTACTACTAACAGTAACATATGCATGTTACTAGTCAAGTTATTCCTCACTGTGGCTAGTCTAATTGAGGAGTACTGTGACGCCCCTGATTCAATCGTACACTAATCATACACGCAAATGTGTACGATTAAGATGAGGGACTCACGGGAAGATATCACAGCACAACTCTAGGCACGAGTTAAAATAACACAAGATTTATATTACAAGCCAGGGGCCTCGAGGGCTCGAATACATAAGCTCGAATACAAACAAGTCAGCGGAAGCAACAATATCTGAGTATAGACATAAGTTAAACAAGTTTGCCTTAAGAAGGCTAGCACAAAAGTAAAAATGATCGAAAAGGCAAGGCCTCCTGCCTGGGAGCCTCCTAACTACTCCTAGTTGTCGTCGGCCTCCACGTAGTAGTAGGCACCCTCAGTGTAATAGCAGTCATCGTCGAAGGTGGCATCTGGATCATGGGCTCCACCATCTGATTGCAGCATCCGAGAAGAACGGAAAGAGGTGGGAAAAGGGGAGCAAAGCAACCGTGGGTACTCATCCAAAGTACTCGCAAGCAAGGATCTACACTACATGCATCGATATCAATGAAATGGGTAGTATCTGTGGACTGAACTGCATAATGCTAGAAGAGAAGGGGAAAGCCTAGCCTATCAAAGACTAGCATCTTCAAGCAGCTCCAAGCATCTTGCAGCAATCAGAAGAGTATATAATAGCATTTTATATTGAATAAACATGTTGTAGAAATAACACGCAGAGATCCTTCCCCGACTCCCTGCGGGAAAGCAATCTCGGAGCCACAATATCCTTTACATGCCTCAGCATTCAGTATCCAGTTCTAGTTGTATCGATCGGGATACAACTCCGAGCGTCCGTTACCATGGACCCGACTATTCGAATAGATAATACTTCCCTGTAGGGGTGCACCAACTTACCCAACACGCTCGATTAACTCCGGCCGGACACACCATCAGGTCAGGACCGCCCTCGGCCGATAAACACACTGCAGTCCTACCTAGGCTCATCAGAGAGGCCAGCACGCCGGTCTACATCCTAAGCGCGCAGGGGTCTTGGGCCCATCGCCCTTTGCACTCCTGCATGTTGCGTATGCGGCCGGTGAGCAGACCTAGCCCCCCTTATACAAGGTGAGGTGTTCCAGTCCAACCCGGCGCGCGCCGCTCAGTCGCTGACGTCCATTGAGCTTTCGACTGATACATACGACGCAGAGTGCCCATACTTATTCTCGCGTGGTGGTTAGTGCGAAAAAGGCCAGAGGCCTACTCGGATCAAATATCCAAACCGTTAGTGAATTAGGAGCGTGCGGTAACGAGTAGAGACTCACGATCGATGTGACCCCCGTCGCTATTGGGGAACGTAGCATGCAATTTCAAAAAGAAATCCTACGATCACGCAAGATCTATCTAGGAGATGCATAGCAACGAGAGGGGAAGAGTGTGCCCACGTACCCTCGTAGACCGAAACTGGAAGCGTTAGTTAACGCGGTTGATGTAGTCGAACGTCTTCACGATCCAACCGATCCAAGTATCGAACGTACGGCACCTCCGTGTTCAGCACACGTTCAACTCGATGATGTCCCTCGAACTCTTGATCCAGTAGAGGGTCGAGGGAGAGTTCCGTCAGCACGACGACGTGGTGACGGTGTTGATGATGTGATCCGCGCAGGGCTTCACCTAAGCACTACAATGCTATGACCGGAGGAGTAAACTGTGGAAGGGGGCACCACACACGGCTAAGAGAAATCTTGGTGTCCTTTGGGGTGCCCCCTGGCCATGTATATAAAGGAGGAGAGGGAGGAGGCCGGCGTCCTAGAGGGGGCGCGCCAAGGGGGAGTCCAACTAGGATTCCCGATCCTAGTTGGTCTCCCTTTCCTATTCCAAGAAGGGGAAAGAGGGAAGGAGAGGGAGAGGGAAAGAGGGGGCCGTGCCCCCTCCCCCTTGTCTAATTCGGACTCCCTTGGGTGGGCCCCACCCTGCGGGCTGCCCTCTCCTACTCCCTTATGGCCCATTAAGGCCCATACATTCCCCGGGGGGTTCAGGTAACCCCTCGATTCCCCGATAAATATCCAAAACATCCCGAACCATTCTGATGTCCGAATACCTTCATCCAATATATCATTATTTATGTCTCGACCATTTCGAGACTCCTCGTCATGTCCGTGGTCTCATCTGGGACTCTGAACAAACTTCGGTCATCAAAAACACATAACTCATAATACAAATCGTCATTGAACGTTAAGCGTGCGGACCCTACGGGTTCAAGAACTATGTAGACATGATCGAGACACATCTCCGATCAATAACCAATAGCAGAACCTGGATGCTCATATTGGCTCCTACACATTCTATGAAGATCTTTATCGGTCAAACCGCACAACAACATACGTTGTTCCCTTTGTCATCGGTCTGTTACTTGCCCGAGATTCGATCGTCGGTATCATCATACCTAATTCAGTCTCATTACCGGCAAGTCTGTTTACTTGTTCCGTAATGCTTCATCCCGTAACTAACTCATTAGTCACATTGCTTGCAAGGCTTATAGTGATGAGCATTACCGAGAGGGCCCAGAGATACCTCTCCGATACACGGAGTGACAAATCCTAACCTTGATCTATGCCAACCCAATAAACACCTTAGGAGACACCTGTAGAGCATCTTTATAATCACCCAGTTACGCTGTGACGTTTGATAGCACACAAGGTGTTCCTCCAGTATTCGGGAGTTGCATAATCTCATAGTCAGAGGAACATGTATAAGTCATGAAGAAAGCAATCGCAATAAAACTTAACGACCATAATGCTAAGATAACGGATGGGTCTTGTCCATCACATCATTCTCTAATGATGTGATCCCATTCATCAAATGACAACACATGTCTATGGTCATGAAACATAACCATCTTTGATTAACGAGCTAGTCAAGTAGCAGCATACTAGGGACACTTTGTTTTGTCTATGTATTCACACATGTATCAAGTTTCTGGTTAATACAATTCTAGCATGAATAATAAACATTTATCATGATATAAGGAAATATAAATAAAAACTTTATTATTGCCTCTAGGGCATATTTCCTTCAGTTTCCCACTTGCACTAGAGTCAATAATCTAGTTCACATCGCCATGTGATTTAACACCAATAGTTCACATCTATATGCGATTAACACCCATAGTTCACATCGCCATGTGACAAACAACCAAAGGGTTTACTAGAGTCAATAATTTAGTTTACATCGCTATGTGATTAACACCCAAAGAGTACTAAGGTGTGATCATGTCTTGCTTGTGAGAGAAGTTTAGTCAATGGGCCTGCTAAATTCAGAGCCGTATGTATTTTGCAAATTTTCTATGTCTATAATGCTCTGCATGGAGCTAATCTAGCTAATTCCTCCCACTTTAAATATGTATCCAGATTGAGACTCAGAGTCATCTGGGTTGGTGTAAAGCTTACATCCACGTAACTCTTTTTGACGAACTCTTTATCACCTCCATAACCGAGAGATACTTCCTTAGTCCTCTTAGGTAACTAAGGATAACTTTGACTGCTATACGGTGATCCACTCCTGGATCACTATCGTACCCCCTTGCTAAACTCATAGCAAGGCACACAATTGGTCTGGTACATTGCATTGCATACTTTATAGAACCTATGACTGAGGCATAGGGAATGACTTTCATTTTCTTTCTATCTTCTGCCGCGGTCGGGCTTTGAGTCTTACTCAAATTCACACCTTGTAATACAGGCAAGAACTCCTTCTTTGACTGACCCATTTTGAACTCTTTCAAAATCTTGTCAAGGTATGTACTCATTGAAAAATCTTATCAAGCGTCTTGATCTATCTCTATAGATCTTGATGCCCAATATGTAAGCAGCTTCACCGAGGTCTTTCATTGAAAAAAAATATTATTTAAGTATCCTTTTGTGCTATCCATAAATTCTATATTATTTCCAATCAACAATATGTTATCCACATATAATATTAGAAATGCTACAGAGCTCCCACTCACTTTCTTGTAAATATAGGCTTCTCCAAAAGTCTATATAAAACCATATGCTATGATCACATTATCAAAGCGTATATTC